GAAAGGATAGAGCCTTCCTTTGGTCCTCACTAACAGCAAGCTCCAATTCTCTTGTGCAAGGGGTATGATAAGCTGATGGTAGGTTGTTTAGAGGATGAGGGGGAATGAGAAGGTGAGGGACAGAGTCCTGGTCCAAGAAAGAAGATTAAATCCAAGGGAACCGGGGAACTGGAAAGATTTGTTAGAGGATATAGTAATCTGCTAGGGTTGTAACCAGTTCTGTGAACAAATTTCAATGACTTTTGTTTTGTTTTGTTTTTTAATAACCCCTTAACTACTTACTTGACCTTGGCTTCATGCCTAGATGTGTCTACCTTTGAGGTGAAGGTTTTGTAGTCATTTCACAAAAGGCCTTTCCTACTCTGGGGTTCCTTAATCCCACAGATCTGTAGACACAGTCGTATGTAAACCTGGTCATGTGCACACACACTAATGTTCCCACGCAAACAGGTTTTTCCCTATGTTACAGCAACCCTTATTCCAGAGCCTGCCCCTTAAATAAACGTTTGATGGTGTCTGTGGAAAGGGAATGGGGGATGAAGAAGAAAGTCTGTCAGACATACTGGCCTGAAGTATGGCCCAGCCCTCCACTTAATTAGGCGTGTGTCCAGTGAAGGTAGGGAAATTCCTGACCCCACTCCCGTGTTCTTGTTGCTGCCCTCATCTCGCCTCCACATCAGCCTCCCTGCTCTGTGGGCTCTGAGCCAAGCTAAAACTCTCACAGGCACTCAGGGCCCAGAAAGCCCAATGAGCCATGAGGGGACTAGTTTCCAGCTTTGACTCTCATAGGCTATCTAAAGTGGCCTGAGAGGAAAGTCTACCTTACAAGCTCACCTGAATTCTGCGAGGATGATCCAACCTAAAAGGAAGTTGTGTTGACAGGGTATCTCTGAACTAAATCATATCTCAGGAATTTGACTTTGCTAGAGATGCCTACCACTATCTCTCCAGAAACTGCATGCCACTGGTCAATGCTGCTAAAAAGAGAGTGGACACATATCTAGAAAGCCATAAATGTAAGGTGACTTTGAGATAACCAAGATTCTCCCCTTGGCTTTACATATTAGGAAGCTGGGGTGGGGGGAGAGAGAGACAGACAGACAGACAGAATTGCCCTGGGGGCACAGATAGCTGAGAGCAGGGCTAGAACTAAACCAGATGCCCTGGCCTAATTACCTACCCAAATGCTTACTCAGGGAAGGAAACTGACCCTGTTGTAGGTCTTGCCCGGACTTGTAGTAAGAAGAAAGAAGAGAATGACAAACAGGAGTGGTGAGCTTTAAAATACAGTTACCATGCTCCCTAGTAAAACATGCCCAGTGATTCATTATCCATTCAGTTTACTTCTTTTTTAATAATTAAGAAGATAATCATTTCTGTGACCCTAAAACTGTTCTAAGAAATAAAGTTTATTGGCTCAGTGCCTGTGGCTCAGTGGCTAGGGCACCAGCCACATAACGCCAGGAATGTTGGGTTCGAACCTGGCCCAGGGCCTGCTAAACAACAATGACAACTACAACAGCAACAACAACAACAAAATAGCTGGACATTGAGGTGGGCGCCTGTAGTCCCAGCTACTTGGGAGGCTGAGGATCACTTAAGCCCAAGAGTTTGAGGTTGCTGTGAGCTGTGATGCCACAGCACTCTACTGAGGGCAACATAGTGAGACTGTATCTCAAAAAAATAAATAAAATAAAATAGGGTAGGGTAGGGTCTCAGTGTGTGACACACCTTTTGGGGGTAAGACACAATTGTAAGAGGGACTTTACCTAACAAATGCGATCAGTGTAACCTGGTTTCTTGTACCCTCAATGAATCCCCCAAAATAAAAAATAATAATAATAATAAAATAAAATAAAGTTTATTTTTTAAAATAAGTAGATGACAAAAAAGGAGTAGGAAGGAAGATGAGCATGGAGGGAGGACACCGAGAGGACATCTTCCCACCCAGGGTTACTGCAAGCCACAGAAGAACCCCAAATACATGTATTGAATAACTTTCAGAGGTACTTGGCAATTTGTCTCCTAGAAAGTGGCTAGTGGGAAACAGTTTTGAGACGTTTCCAGGTGTACCATGCTAGTCTTAGGGAGGCACATTTTCATTTTGTGCCATCTGTCTAGGACCTCCACCATGAGCTATGAATCATGCATGTGGAGGCCTGTACTACCTTCATGATCACTCCCAAAAGCAGAATTGAAGTCTGCTTTCCAGGAGCATTCATTCCTCCTTGCTCCAAAAGGTCTAAGTCAGCCTAAGGGACAAAGAGTTGGGATTGGGAGCAACATTTTCTTTCACAATTAGAGAGAAAATTCAAAGTAAAAATATGGATTGAGGCAGCATATGGAAAGAACCTGATGTGATGATCACATACTCTTTTATTTATTTTAGAGATAGGGTCTTGCTCTGTTGCCCAGGCTTGATCACATAGATCACTGTAACCTTGGATTCTTAGGTGCAAACAATCCTCCTGCTTCCTTCTCCCAAGTAGGCATGTGCCACCACACTCAACTAATTTTTTAAAAAATTTTTGTAGAGTTGGGAAGGTGGGGAGATCTCATTATGTTGCCCAGGCTGGTCTTGAGTTCCTGGGCTCAAATGACCTTCCTGCCTCAGTGGCTCTTCCCACCTTAGTGTACCAAGCTGTTGGGATTACAGGTGTGAGCCACTATGACAGGCCTCATTTACTCTTTTAATTGGACTCATTTCAGTTGTAGATGACTGGCCTGTTTTGATGTAAGGTAGTGCTAGGCTGGGGTACTATTGGCTGCTGGAAGGAAAGGGAGAATTTACTGCAGGGAGAGGATGAATAGAAGGGAGGAACAGTTGGTCAAAGAAACCTAAGACAATTTAATTTTGTCAGTACACTTACCGAAGCTGGGTAAGGAGGAGCTGGGCCCCTATGATGTGTTTATCTGTCCACTGAGAATGCAGAATTCCTTAAATTTGTTTGTTCTGAAAATGTTTTGAAAACTAACATTATCTTCTTAGAAGAATCATGGATATAGTCATTCTTCTTTTATGCAGACACCTGTCTTGACATATTAACACCTCAGTGTTAAGATTAATTGCCTGGGTTTATCTTCTGGTTAGGGTTAGCATCCCTTTATTTGTAGGGCAACAATAGTCTCCCCACAGGACAGAGGTGTCTTATCTGTCCCCAAATAACTGGGATACTTCTCTTGCTGACTACACCTGGTCTCTTCCTGGATAAGTCTTGGTCTTTCCTCTCCCGGTTCCCTCCTAGTCAGGGCGTTTCCCACCCCCCCCCCACATTCTTTCTCTTCACTTATTGCTTTATTTCCCAGATGGAGCCCCCAGAGGTCCTATATCAGGGAAGGTGTGGGAAGCCGGGAGCCAGCGCTGGTGAGTGTGCACAAAGGGGCACAGCAAAACTCCAAGTGGCTGTTCTTAAAAGCTCCACTAAAGTTCCAGGAAAGATGAGAAGCTTTGGGGCTGGGAACAAGGGTGAGATAAACTTCAGGAAAAATTTGATTAAAGAAGACATATTTAAAAACTTGAAGATTCCCCCTTTTCTCCTCCATTCTCACTTGTAGGAAGGAGTGAGATCCCCATTGCCCCAGAAATGTGGGAATGGTCCCTTCTTCCCTGCAGGTCTTCCTCATGCAGAGTCCCAAGGCCAAGGATTCCTTCTTCATAAGAAAATCACAGTCACTCCCAACATCTATAAATGGAGTATGTAAAGATGGTGACAAAACAGGCCACACTGGTTGGAAGTAGGGCCTTTCTCTAGTTCTATGACCTTGTCTAGAGCCAGCTGCAGCCATAAACAGGAGATTAAACGTAATGATGAAGTGGTGACAGAGGCTGAGTCTAGTCTTTCAAGGCCTCTCAGGTAGGGTGGCCCAGAACTGAGTCACCTTGTAGGACAAGGACATTGAGAACCCCTAAGAGTGCACCAGAAAGCCTGGGAGAGCCACCGCTCCACAGCACTCAGCGAAGGAAAAGGAGTTTTGCTCCTTGAGTTAGACTCTAGTAACAAAAAAAACAATGACTGGAAACCTGGAGACCTGGATTCTAGCCCCATCTGCACCACTAACTACCAGCAGGCCATGTGCAAGTCACTGAAAAGGCAGTGCTTACATTAGGTCAGCAATGGCAAATGTGTGGCACACACACTCGGGCCCCTCACACTTTCACAGAGGCTGTTGATCAACTACATCACTGTTCAGAATTGTTTTCTACAGCATTCTAGGCAAGCACTTCTAATGAGGGTTGGTACTCAAACTAAAATCTACTTACTATCTTTTGATACCACCATCTCTATAGTCACTTCCAGCTCTAAAATTTAAGTTTCTGCCTTTCCAAGTAAGAGATGCCTATTTTGCTGATGTAGAAAAAGCTTACTCCAAAAGAAAGGAAAACGGAAATTTAGGATCATAATTTCTTAGAGTCCCCCTCCCCACCCTGAGACTAAGCAGGGTCTTCCCAAGGTCATGCTTGCTTTCCTGCTGTGCCAGAGAATCTTAGTATTTGAGCTTCACCCTTTGTCAGTTCACCCCAAAAGGCAGTGTCCAAAATTGTATTTCCCTTTTGTCCCAAACAGCCCACACTTAACAGTTTTATATTTGGCACCAAGGAATTCACAAAGAAAGGACTTTTGTTAAGCCACTAAAATCCACAATTCAGAGGCAAGATATATTAATTACTCTACTCACAGCTCACTGGGGCTAATGAGACACAGAGTACTTACCCTTTGCTAGAGAGTAAATAAAGAAACAGTACCTGGATGGAATAGCTTCAGCAGGTGTTTGCAACTGTTTTATTGAAAGAAGCAGTGAAAGGGTTAACCTGAGGCCCACCTCACAGCCCACTCCTCACCCCACCCCCTAAACCATGCAGGAGCAAGACCCAGGAGAAGGAATCATGTGTGTGCTGAATGAGAGCCCCAACTAGAATTGTTTCTTTCAGGGCAAGGAAGGAATTTGGGGAGAGGCAGGTGTTGAACTGATGGGGGGACGTGCATCATGCCACTCTGACCTTAGGAGGAGTCCCCCACAGAAGCATCAAAGTGGACTGGCACATACGGGGTCCCCTCACAGGCCACAATGATGTGTCTCTTTTTCTGGCTGGTCCGGTAGGAGCAGTTGGGGTACTTGGAGCCGTTTGTCAGGCGGCAGTCTGTGATGTCCATGCTGGAGCTGCTCTTGTAGCAGTTGGTCTGCCCATTCTTGCAGTTGACCCTTTCCTGGAAGCAGACAGCCTGGACATCTTCCAGGGGCTCGTGCACAAAGGTGTTCACTGGCTTGCACCGGCCCTTGGTCATGTTCCGGCGCTTCATCATCTGGTTGCAGTAGGTGTGGTTGCTGAGGGAGGAGGTGCCACCAGAGTCCATGTGCTGCCGCTGGAACTTCATGGCTGGGGTTTCCTTACCCAGGGAAGGCTGGACATACCCCAGCACCAGCAGAACCACGACTAGCAGCGGAAACAGGACCAGGGACTTCTCCAGAGCCATGGTGGTCTCACTTTCCTGGAAAAGCCTAACAGGAAAAGGAAGAGAAATAAAAAGCATCCTTTTAGAAAGAGAATCACAGTTCCCACCTGTGGCCTCCATGGTTTATAGTCTACCTTTCAGCCAGAAGGATGTCTCTCTGACATTTTTCAAGTAACGAGACACTCACATGTACCCTTCTCTAAGAGTATTTTACTTTACTCCCTCCTCCTAGAGGGGAGAGAGACCTTCCTCCCTAGAAGGTGGTGACCTACAAAGTCACCTAAAATCCTAGCAGTACTGTCTTTGAATATTGGAGGTTCTTTAGTCTAAATACACTCATACCCTGTGCTCAAATGGCTCATCAAAAGATCATTTTGAATAAACCACAAACCAAGTTATATCCCGGACCATGGCTGACAGGACTTATTGTCTCACAACATAAGGGAAAGTCAGTCCAGTGCCTGACACTGGCATCATAAATGATTCCATTGTATTCCAAAGAGAGATGCCAGCCTCCTCCCACTCGAGGGTCCTTCTCCAGCCCCATGGGTTCTCTGTAACCTGCACATCCCATCCCTAACCCGTGCTCTCAGCTGATGTTTGCCCGGCCCAAGTTTTCCTTATGTTTGTGTTGGTCCAAGCTATGTCAGCATTAGCCTTCTCTCCCTGGCTCCCCTCGGCCCCCACCCTGCTCCAACCTCCCAGCAGAAGCAGCTCCTGCGACCACTTGTTGGGCTCCTAACCTGGGTCTCCAGCTTGGTGTCCAGGAGAGACAGAAGGCCAGTTTCTGCCGTCACTCAGTCCCTGGACCTTATACAGATTCCAAAGGGGGTTGGCTTCCCAGGGGAAAAGGTGGGAGGAGCATCTTGGGCTCAGCCCAGATATGAACAGTAGCATTGCCAGGGAGGAGTGGGGAATCATCCAGGCCACCTCCTTCACAAGGATACTGGAGAAGAAAGAGAGTTTTTGCCTGTAGGAGTCTTTCTTACCATGTGGACCACGTCTGCAGGTTCACAGAGAGGAGCAGAGAGAACCACTCAGCGCTGGCTCCCAAACCTGGTTACCTCTTTGTGGGCCATTTTCACCCAATAGACTCGGAGATTAACAAAGGACACAGAAAGTGATCATAGGAGGAGGAGGCCCTCTCTCCCCAGGAGTCTGGGAAGAGCTTTGTACAGAATTCCAGATCTCGCAGACAGTACGTCTGGCAGGAGTGGGTTCCTGCTACCCACAGCTGAAAGGCTTCCCAGACCTGAAGAGAGGAGGAGAGTATCTGAACAGGGAAGAAGAGGAGGCCTCTTAGGTGACTTTACCCAGCTCTGGCCAATTCCTGCCCACCCTCCATCCTTGCTCCGAGGACACTGAGGGTGCAGGGCAGTTCTTATCTCCATTAACCACTGCTCCTGGTCAGAGTTGAGTAGAGAAACTAAAAGTAAACTAAAACCCCCAATCCTTTTTGGAGAAAAAAATGCAAAGAACATTGTAGTTCTCACTAGCAAAGTGTCCTCCTGCAAAGTGACCTGCTCTTGCTGGGTGACAATTTTGATAACTCAGAAGCAAGAATTATCAAAATATCACTCCAGGTTCTAGATTTAGACTGTTTTAGTTCAAATTCTGATTTAACACTTTAATACCTTAAGAGCTGAGCAAGTTATAGCACTTAATGTCCCTGTCCTCAGTTTTCTCACCTCTAAAATGGGGATAACAATATGTACTTCTTAGATTTGTTGTCAGGTTGAAATAAAGTAAGATGTATGGAGTGGCTGGCATAAAGAAATCATCAGTGGATGTTAGCTCTTGAGATAGTTCACCTAGGGTGGGCTTGAGATTCCCCCAAGGAGTACCCTCAAACAACACTGGGTGGTCTTAGAATTGGTTTTTATATGGGTGGAGTCAGGTGACTACTAAAAAGCTGAGCTGAACATAGCAGTTTTAAAATCTCAGGGAGGAATGAAAGGGGAAGATGAGAGACTGTTATGCCCGAAATTCTCCTAAAAGACCCCGGCAGACAAATCCAAGACACACTCCGATGTAAAAAGTCATGAGGTGAGGTTTTATTCAAACCCGAGTCTGGTCTCTCCTGGCATGCAAGCCAAGGAAGAGCCTCGAACCCCAGGTGGAGCAAGTTTTTTGGGGGTACAGAAAGCAAGAGGGGAAGAAGGGTATGAGTATACTTTTTGATTGGTGGTTGGTGATATCATTAGTAAAGGAGGAAGTAAAGCAGGATTTGCATTGGTGGCTGATGATTTCACTAGTAAAGGTGAATTTGGATTGGTACAGGTGAGGGGTGGGGGGTCCCTTAACCGGGGGCTAGAGTTGGTGCAGCCTGATTACCTGTATTTCAAGGTAATAGAAACTTATTGTTTATTATAGCAGCTGTTTGCCTAAGGTAACTCAGTTTACGGCTTAGTGGCTGTGCAACTTGGGGTGGGGGAGAGGCAGCAGGGAGTGGCCCTGCAGGTTTCACTGGCAGGAATGGAACTTATGTGGTAAACAGCCAGGAATGGGGCTTGTGCTGTAAACAGCCAAGAATGGAGCTTGTGCTGTAAACAACAAAATGGAGCTAGTTTGGCTCTCACAAGACAAGAGGGAATTTAGTAGAAAAGACAAAATTCTTTAACAGAGAATTTTAATATCATTTTTCCTTATTGTGTTCAAATAAAATTAAAAACACATACAGTGAGAATAAAATAAGTCTGTCAGGCTAGGGCAGACATGACACAGCTGGTCTGCTCAGTTTAAGTCCTGCAGAACCTTTACTCCTGGTTTCCCATTCTTATTGTTTTATAAATTGAGCTCCCACCCTAAAGATGCCTATCTTGAGTAGTTTATGTGGATTGATTTAGGAGATTAACTTTTGAATGGAAATGTTATAAGAGGTTCCTGAGTTATGCTGGTTATTATTTAAAATAAGGGTTAGTGTGGTCTTTGCTTTAAACTTTTTTGTATAAAACTGTAATTTTGGAAATGGAAAAATAGAACAGTCTTGCCAAGGCTACTCTTACTGTTCTCCAGAATCCTGGCCTTCTGACAAATAAAGACCTACCCCCATATTTGATAGGTGGCCGGACTGCCCTTGTCCAGTAATAAAATCACATTATTTGCTAATGCGTATGGATTTGGATGTGGACGTAGGGGTAAGGAAGACATGACGTGGCATGAGTTTTCAGTTTCATGTTTCCTTAGTTGTGTCAGAACTCAGAAACTGATATCCTAAAATGAAGGCCTTAGAAGTAGCTCAGAAGCAAGTTTCTCTCAGCCTTTCTCCTCCTCTCCTTTCTCTGGCCCTTCATCCTTCCCTGAAGTTAACCATAGAAACTAGAATCTTTCTTTCCCAAAAGGCAGGTCATAGAAAGCAGAATTCCTTTTCTAGAAAGCTAGCCATAAAACTGTGAATTAAATAAAAATTTAAGCCTCCCAGCTGACTAAATGTACCCCCTTTTAGCCCAGAAGACCACAGAAATACCCTAATGCTGAGTCACTGTCCATGAGAAGAGAGGTCAGACGTGCCTCATCATGCCCTCCCCCCTTAGAAATAACCTTTGTAACTCAATAGGCTGAAGGCTATGCAATGCAAAGCTTAAACCACACCTATAGGTCATTATTTCAATTAATAGATCACTTGAATCTGAGTTTATTTCCAGGGGCTTATCTCTGGCTAGTAGAGTTCCTTGTCTTAATTTAAACCATTCTAAGCCTTTAGACAAAGCTTCATTTCTTTAACCAATCACAAATTGAAGCATCTTTCAACCCACCTATAACCTATCATCCTCTAGCACAAGACATTCTGCCTTTTTGGACCAAACCAATGTACACCTTCCATGTATCAACTAATTAGAATTCTTGTCTCTCTGAAATGTGTAAAACTGGACCCAACCCAACCACGGTGAGACCACTGCTCACAGCTTGTTGGGCATGGTTCTCCAGGCTATCGTTGCACATATTTAGCTCAGAATAAACCTCTTTAAATTATTTTACAAAGTTTGGGTTCTTTTCCATTGACAAAAATCTAAAACCATTACTCTAACTGCCCCCGCCAACTCCCAGCTTTCTATGTAAAAACTGTCCATAATGAAATTATCCAACCTGTCTTGTTTGATTATAGGTCAAAAAACCTTCATTCCAGAAAGTCTTGCCCTATACCCAGAAGGAAGGAATGCAGCTCAGAGAGGCCAAGAAGAACCTAGGCAGACAGGCTTTGATGGGTTTTGTAAGCACGGTTGGTCTTCACAGTGAAATGATAGAAAAATCATTAATGCATAATTTTTCAGTAAGGACTAAAATATCTTCTCTCTCTCTCTCTCTCTCTCTCTCTCCTGCTTTCTTTCTCTACCTAGCAGACTTACTAGCAGCCTCACATCCCACCCCATGGATTTTCACTTTCACAAGCCTCTAAGGAACCCAAAACACAGAAAGGAAATGTAAGTTTTCTCTACAATCACTAGACCTATTAACTAAATCTACTTTTCAGAATTTGTTCCTATAGCTTCAAGGGTTCCTGAGAGTCCCCAAATAATGGAGTGTGAACATCAGGCCTCAGAATTTCAAATACCTATAAAAGTCTGTCTCTAGCCTTGCTAGAGGAAATATAGATACAGCATTCACATTCACAATACCTTGTGAATTTGGCTGCAATTACCTTTTTATTTTTTCTTCTCCTCTCTGCTCCCCTTAAATTCACCTAGCTACCTGACCTCAGGGCTGGTATTCTTCCTTTTTTTCTTTGGGAGCATACTGGTCTCCCTGCTCTCTTTTCTCTCTCTCCCCACTCTTTTCTTCTCCCACTCCCTCTCTCCTTTTGAAAGATTAAATAAACTCATACTTTTATGTCCTAAGATATAGATCTAGAGAAATACTTTTCTCATCCCATGTGGAGCATCTGCTGACCTTTCCACCCTAACATCTGGTGGCCTGCATGGGGACTTCAGAAAATTGTTTCTCTACCTCCACACTAGGAGAAGTCATGTTTCTCTTCCTAAGGGGACTGTCTTTTTCTTCTCTGGATAGGGAGCGGTTTCAACCTCAAGGCTTCTACCTCCTCAGCCGCAGTTCTTAGGACATCCTTTTGGTGTCTTCAATATCATTGGATTTGGGGAGTCTCTTTGTCTCTGGAAACTTTGGGAATGATCATATGTTCAAGGATATGGATGGTAGTATCCTTGCATGGCCAGGGGAAACTCAACCCTGGGTCTACCCCGTCAGGAGGGTAGCATGGAGGAAAAAGAGAATGGGACTGACTGCAGTCCTGAGAGCAGAAACAGTTTCTTTCCCTGCCTGCCTCTTTTAAACTTTTCCAGACACAGAGTTACTCAAAAAGCCCAGAAGAGAAACCTATACTCTCCTGCAGGAACTGAGCTCTGTCTGCACTAAGACTCTAGGATCCTGGAGTAAAATGCACCAGGAAGGAACCTCTGCTGGAACCCTGAACCGTGTCTACTCTACAAAAGAGAAAGACACTGGAAGTGAAATGTGTGATTAAGGCAAGAGACTGTATTTGTCTTCCAGGTCTGATGGTCCCTCCTTCCCCCAGGTCAGCTCCCTCTATACCCACAGATCTTCATGGATAGCTTCAGTCCAATGGACAGACCCTGACTTCAGGACAAGCTCAACTTTGTCACCCTGGAATGGCCCAGCCGTAGGTGACTATCTCCTTGATGTAGGTAAACAAATTAATTTACTAAATATTGGCCTCTGCCTGCTCTAGAGGGAAATAGTGGTGGGGAGGGGAATAGGGAAGGTTCTCCTAAAATGGGTGAAATCAATACAGCACTGAAAAACCTAAGCT